CTTCAGGAGAGAAGGAGTTGGAAGCCCGCCCAGTTAGCCGATGCGACGTGACGGGTGCTGTGGGGGGCGGGCAGGGGCGGGCGGCTGCTGGGTGCCACGTCCAAGAGACGGAGGAGGTTCCATGCGGCTACTAAACGCTAGCTGGAGGGAAACCGAGGCGAGGCAAAGGGTTTATTTCCACCCTTCCCAGGAACCCGAGGGGAGCTGGGGCTAGAGCGGGCTCTAGGCTGGGCGATTCAGCACACGGGACAGAGGCTTTGCGCGAAGGGGCAACCAAACCAAAGCACCTTTGCAGAAAGCGAGGGGAGCCTGTGTCCGGGCGCGGTGCAGCACCTCTGGGCCAGGTCTGTGGCTGCCTCGCTCCCCAGAGCGCTGAGGCCCGTTTCCACGAGCTGGGACCCTGGCCCGCTCTGCCGGGCTGGTTGGCCTGAACGTCCCGATGTGCCCTCCACCCGAGCCCCACGGCATCAGATTTGCATCCCAGCCTGTTAGCCCTGAGGCTGGTTGGCAGCTGTGGGCACCGCTGCACGGACCCTGACAGCAGCTGGCTCAAAGTTCATAGTTTGCTCAGTGACAAACGTGCCACGAGACGGCCTGCGTGGTGGCCCTGCTGTGGTCCTTGGGTAGAGGTGCAGCCCTGACCCGAGATGGAGACCTTGGGTTACTGTACCGCACCTAAACAAAGAAGGAATGACACCGCTACATAGCTGCTTGGCAATTACATGGGGAGGTGAAAACCAACCGTTCCCTGAAAGGCAAGGCAAGGCAAGCCTCCAACTGCTTTTTAGCATAATCCACTGGCCACATTTGGGCCAACACTGGAGAACTGACCTGACCCCGACCAAGATCATGGGCCACTCCAGCTTGGTCCAACAAGCCCTGGATAGGAGTCTCACATCTCTGTAGGCCAGGCACACACACAGGCTCAGTGGTTTGAGCATTAGCCTGCTGAAGGCCAGGGTTGTGAGTTCAATCCTTGAGGGGGCCATTTTGAGATCTGGGGCAAATCATAGACCATTAGAACTGGAAGAGTCCTTGAGAGGTCATCACATCCAGTCTCCTCCCCTCCTGGCAGGACCAAGTACCATCCCTGACAGATTTGCCCCACATCCCTAAATGGCCCCCCCTCAAGGATTGAGCTCACAACCCTGGGTTTAGCAAGCCAAGGCTCAAACCGCAGAGCTATCCCTCCCCACAGGGATGGTATTTGGTCCTGCCATGAGGGCAGGGGACTAGACTTGATGACTCTCGAGGTCCCTTCCAGATCTATGAGATATATGGACATATACCTTTTATTATTATTATTATTATTATTATTATTAGGAAGAGAAGTTTGGATAAGGCTTGAACCTTTTCTGACTTGGTACCATTTAGGGATGTGAAATGTAACTGTGTTCATGGCTAACTGATGAGCCAACATGTTCACAGTTACATACAGGCTCCTGGTTCACACGGGGAGCCCACTGAAAAGCCAGCCCAGTGTGCACCAGCTCCCAGGGAGCTGCCTCCACCCCCTTTCTCCCGCTGCTGCTGCTTCTGTATCAGAGGCAACAGTACTGGGGGGAGGCGGGAGTCAGTATGCACAGGGAGCCGACTGCTGCCCCCTGTGGAACCACATAACCGCTGAAAACATCAGCGGTCACACGGTTACATATTTAAACCCATTTTAACATCCCTAGTACCATTTACCTTTTGGTTACGTGTCAACGCCAAATGCAATTGAGGTGCACAGATGTGAAAGATGAAAAACGACCTATTAAGTCGATCTCCCTGCTAGGGCAAGGTTGTACATATAGTATATTTCCCATTGCCTTGTCCAGCCTGATATTCCTGTGGAATAAAACATTTAGAGCATTGGGCTCTGATGCTCCTGGATTTCATTCTGTTGGCTGGCTTGACCACCGCCTTTTCACGTGACCCTTTTGTGTAACTGTTTGTTTACTGTCCTGCTGCAGAGACCTCAAGCTGGACAACGTGATGCTGGATAGCGAAGGGCACATCAAGATTGCAGACTTCGGCATGTGCAAGGAGAACATCTGGGACGGGGCGACCACCAAGACCTTTTGCGGCACTCCTGACTATATCGCCCCCGAGGTGAGAGGACGTGACGCGCAGCCGACGCGCCGCGGCAACGGGCTTGCAAGGATAAACATCGCTTATGGGAACGTGTGCGCCATAAAACACCTTTTGCTTCTGGGACCAGTGGGGAGAGGCAGAGAAAACACAGTAGCTTTGGTGGCTTTTATTGCTCAGCAGAAGTACCGACTAATTTTTGTCGTAACCCTCTGACAAGAATTGCCAGTCGACAGCGTTTCCTGTGTGTCTGAGTCTGGGGGTAGCGCACGTTTTTGAAGCCAGACCTAAGGGAGATCCCTTTAGAGCCAGGCGAAGAATGCACGCAAAGCAACATGGGCAGTAGAGAGCATGGGGAGTTCTCCATGGAATGACTTTGCAACAGAAAAGGTAGTTTCTACCAACTTGAAATTTTGGGCGGAAAAATTTTAATTTTGCCAAAAAATAAAATTGATTTTTTTTTTTGCCATTTCGAAAATCAAAATACAAGATTTCCTTTGGGGTTGGTTTGGCCTGGATTGAAATATTTCACTTTTTGTAGCTGACCCAAAATGATTGCTTTCAAATAACGTCATTAAAACAGAAATGACACTTTCTTATCGGGACACATTGCCTTAGTGGAGTTGTAGTTCTGTCCCTCTTCTCTCCAAAAGTGTATATATGGTTGTGACAATTTTCTTCCACTATTTGATCTGAGGAAGTGGGTCAGGCCCACGAAAGCTCGTCACCTATTAAACCCATCTTAGTCTTTAAAGTGCTCCACAGTCCTGTTTTTTGTTTCAGCTCCACTAGGACTACCTCTCCCATAAGGCAGTGTGCTGGTTTCATTTTGCCCAAGATGTGTGGTACATCCTGGGAGTCACGTGACCCTGGAAATGTCATGTGGCCGGGAGCCAGGGGAGAAGGTGAAAAGTCTTGTGCTCCCAAACTACGACTCCCACAAGGCAGTGCACCCAACGTAAGAAAATACAGCTCCATGTTGAAACGACTCACAACAACGCAGTTTTGTGTCCTTTCCGGAGGCTGAAATGAAACATTTTGACTTGGGGAAGGTCTGTGTTTTGTTTCACAAACTTTTCAACACTTTTCCAAGTCAACATTTTTTCTTTAGAATTTCCTGCACCAGGAAAGTTTCAGCTTCCTGTCTCACGGCGGGATGAACGCCACTGCCGCAAGGTCGGGCATTCTCCGTTTTGCTTAGCTCCCGTCGCTGTAGCTGCCAGGGTCAAAGTGGCAGGCGGGTGAGGGAAGCCCCCCCCCCCTTGCTGCAAAACCCCCCATGGCCCTGCTCACAAACCGCCAGGCAGGAGGAAGATTCTCTTCTGCTTCCGCCAAACACCTGGCTCCAAATCAATCTTCTTCCTAGCCGCAGAGGGCTGATGCCTGCTCCACTTCCCTGCAGCATGGCTGGGTTTCCCTGCCTGCTGCCCAGCCGGCCTGGCCGCTCCCCCTCTGGCGAGGCCCCGCTGGAGGCTGCGGGTCTCGAGGCCCAACAGATGCCAGAGCCTGCTGACTAAGCCAAGTTCTGCTGCCCTCCCCGGGGTTCTGGCTTGGGCATCAGGACACGGGGTGCAGGCTCTGCCCTTTCTCTGGCAGCCCCCGTTTGTTTCCCCCACTCTGTCCCAGTGGAATGGGGTGTCTAGTGGAGTCCCCCTTGCTGCTGGAGATATGGGCATTGACCCGCCTAGGAATGTGGTCTCTGCCCCTCTCTCCAGCACCCCATGAGCCCTTCTCCCCAGATCCAGGCTCCCTGGCTGGGGCAGCCGGGTTCCTCTCCTCCATCTTCCCTGCCTCAGGTGCCTTCTCCTGCTGGGCCTTGTCTCCGGGTCTTCCTCCTCTCCCAGGACCACCCCGCGTAGGGACCCGCCTCTGCCCCGATTCCCGAGCGGCGCCGCCGCTGCGTGAGCGAGAGACCTCCTGTTCCCACGCCCCGATCTTCCACGGAGGGGACCCCGTCCCCATCATCTCAGCTCCTGCCCGTTGGTTCCCGGCCGAGAGCCAGTAGCAGGGCTGGGTTCCTGTCTCCCGAATGCCCCCTGACCAGGAAGGCAGGTGCCCCCTGGTTGACTCCCGCTGTTCCTCC